TTGAGGCTAGGATGAAGCAATAATAGGTAAGAGCATGAATTTCTTTTTTTTTTCATTAGACATGCAGCAATTTATGTAATTCAGAAATTCCTTTGACTGATACCACATAACTGGCAAGTGATTCTCACGAAGAGGGTGGAATCAGTGCCTGCTTGTCAAGCTCTGTTCTCCACTGAAGTCTGCCCTGACAGCACATGTTCGTCTTGGCAGAGCTTTGGAGGCAATGTGATAGCAATGCTTTCTGTCCCAAAGTTGCAAATGATGCTGCTACTGATGCATTGTTAACTTAGATGACAGTCATGGACTACCACCTGGTTTTACTTTTCAAATTATATTTTCCAGGATGAAGAAGCTTCATGTGATATACATCTCTACCTGTATGTCTCTACATGTACTTTTTAGCTGCTGGCACACAATTGTGTTCAAGGCACACAGATGGGCAGCTTGGTTCCATTTACCTCTGGTGTGCATTCTGTCATTGGCAGCCGACAGGAGGAAGCCATGGGGACACATCTCCATACAAATGTGATTTTAAAAAGGCAATTTTCATTTTTTATGGTGGCTTTGCAGAGTTTTCACAAAATTTAATGGGCAGATGAATTCCTATAGCATATTGAAAGTCAAAAGGCCTTATTCAACTTTTGTGTTTAACAGATTCCACGATGTCTCAGAATTAAAATAACCACAATTATAAAATGTTAATTGTGGTTACAGACTCTGAACTTCTTTGCAGAATTTCATATTTAATTATGTAAGATACTTAGCTGCCCTGAAAAAGGCAGATAATAAAAACAACATGCAACAGTTTAATCAATGTAATTATTAATTAAAGGCAGGTTTAAAGGTTTAATGCTTTTAAAATATAGTCCATTATGCTTACAGTGAGTGAAGCCTATACATTGCAAGAAAGACTATGGATTTTTGTTAATATAATTATTGCTATTCTTTACTACTGTTACTCTGCTCAGCACTGCTTGAGCACAGTATTCAGATATGACCAATGTGGGAGAAAGGATACTCCTCTGTGGGCCTTTGGCTGCTGCATGCTGGGCTGAGCTTTTGTATACGTTATCCTCTAGTCTTTACTGCCATTAGCAATTGGAAACTGTGGCAGGAGTAGCAAAACTCCCCCTCTAGCATTAACAGGGTTCTGGACCAGTGGAAAAGACATTCTCTTGTTCAGGCTTTGTTCACTGCTATAATATCCATTCCCAGTAATTCTTCAGAAGAGCAGGTGGAACAGAAGGATCTATTTGTCTCATATGTCATCACCTAGACTGTACTGATTTATTACTATTTAGAACTGATGGAAATAAAAATCAGGAGCACGAAAGACTTAATGAGTGTTAAAAATATTTATGAATTCATTTCAAACTCTTCCTTCAGTTAACAAAGCTATGTGTAGCTACAAAGTCTAAAAAGTCTATGAATTCACACAATTAGTTGACATGGGAGATAATATTAGTATATTCACTCTTCAAATATTTCCTATCCTGTCAGTATTCTCAACCCTGCAGTATATCCAAAACAGTAAGTCGTTGGCATTCCTCATACTAGGGAATTCTCACTTTTGCAAACCCTTTCTAACCTGTCCTAGTGCTTAATAATTATTTTATTAGCTTAAATGACGATCCTAATAAAAGAAAATAATGCCTTCAGTAACAGGTATTTGTGAGATTGTTCTTTGAGAGAAAGATGTTCAGAAGATGGGACACATCTGGCAACTCAATAATTAAATAAAAGAAAATAATTCTCAGTGCCTCTGGACATCCTGGAAAGTATCCAACTTAAGGATTTTTAATGCTGAGTGAATGGGGTTTTAAGTGAATGGGGTCTGTTAAATGAATAAGATTTTAAATAATTTTCCAATAAAAATAGCCTTTAGTAGTACTGTAAGTATGCTGTCATAATTGTACGGTTCATATCAGTTATTCTAAAATACTAGACTACCTTATGTTTTATATTGAACAATTTATAAGATCCACTATAAATATTATGTTAGCAACAACTGTGTTTCATTTATGCTTTTTCTATTGACGTAGATAAACAGCAACAGATCCTTACTGTGGGTGCATTAAACGTAGCTGTTCCCTATGCCTTATGTAAAAAGTCATATCATTCCAATATAACATCGAAGGTACCAGAGGGTCTGAATGACTCAACTGTAGTGATATAGTTATGTATAGTACTTTTGTATATAGTCTAACTCTTAAAAATATTTATCATAAACAACGGTGATTTATACGGTGTCCTAAAATTTAAAGTGGGGGCCTCAGGGAAATTTTTTTCTAAATTTGTTTTCCTATAATTCTCTCGAGATTAAAAGTACTACAAAGTCATCTCTAGTAATAGTAATTTTTATCTTCTACTTCCAAACATGTTTATGTCTTTGATTCTGTTTGACTGATATTATGGGTTTTTTTTTCCATTTCTGTTTGAAATACTATCCTATTAAACTGAATGCTAGATTAATTTGCCTCATATTGGTCTTGGAAACTCTGCCACCCCCACCAAATTGTTTCTTCATCTCATTTTAAATATTTGTAAGTCTATTCTTCTAAATACTAGCTCTAGACTAATTTAGATCTTTGACTGAGTCAGTGGCAGAGAAAATTATTGGGCAAACAGATTCAGCAGGCAACTGAAAATCTAAAAGATTTCTCAGAGTTTCTGTATTAGCCTGGTCAAACAAGTGGCTATAATAAATAAATAAATCACTAGAATTCATCTCTTTGTAATGACATTTCAAATTTTACTAGAAAAGAATATTGCTGAACATTGTTTTGTTGGCAAATTCTCATGGCAACTGTGCTGGTGACCTTCTGAGAGACTGGCAAGTCATTTCTCTTCCTCAGGTTTTTCCCCCTGAAAATAGGGGTATTGATGTTTACTTCCATATTAGGGGGTGAAATCTTGAGATATGAATGAGATCTATTAGAAAGATAAGCTATGTAAGGGCTAGATTATGATATTACCATTTTAATATATATGTACATTTTTCCAAAATAAATAAAACTTACCAGTTATTTTTGAACTGCAGCCTTGATTTTTTGGTGTTTGAGGTTAACTCTTCCTGAACCCAAACCCCCAATTAGCTTGAAAGCCTGGAGGAATAGCAATTAATGTATTTGGTTACTCCATTTTTTATTTTAGTGATTGATACAAGATTATTCTTTTACAGTGAACACAAGGCAATGCAAATTAATTGGAATTTTGACTATAGAGTCACTGTAATTGTTAATAATTCACTAGTTTTGCAAATTCATTGCACTGTGAATTATGTGATCCAGAGGAAGCTTGCTGACTAGGCTGCATGAACCAATGTAGATCAAATTAAAGTGTGGCTGATCGTTCCAATTCCAGAAAAGTAAAATTTCATAATCTCCAAGTTACTGAAGTATAAATATATGAAGTATATATTATAAATATATAACAGTAACTTGATGACATTTAGCATTCTTTGAATCCTGCGTCTTACATTTTACTGTGTCATTACTGCTGCGTCAGAACTGCAGACAGAGAATATAGTTGTGGTATACATAACACTTGGGATCCTGATCTATCAGTCTTTGCTCTATCATTAACGTACTTTTCTACATAGGGACACAGCCTAGTAACTTAGGGACTTAGTAATTTAAATTACATGTCTAATGCTGTTTAAGTTGAATGTTTAGTTTATTACACAAATATATTTTCCTTTCCATTTAAACACTCAATTTAACATTAGTTTCAACAAGTTGTTTGGATTTTTGTTTTACTAACGCCTCCATAGATTGTCATTACCAAAACGTAGCCCAATTTTTCCATGCCCTGAGTACATCCCATGACAACACTTTGTGTCTAGTCTCTATTTATGTTTAATGTAGCTTTTCTTTTCTTTAAACCTTGTATTTTAGGACTTCTGCAATTCAGCGTCAGTTTCTCACATACAAATCCATATGGTAATCTGCAACTTGTATTTTTTAAAATATGGAGCCAGACTAGGATCTTGTTGTCTCATTGGCCATAAATTATATGATCTTTAAAATATCCTCTAATATTAACATGCAACTGCATTTTGAAACGATATTATAAAAAGTAAAATCCTTTTGTGGGCTTATCCAACCTTACTCATTTTAGTCATTAGTTTTAAGCTATTTCCAGAAAAATAATTCAGTTTCTTGGCATCGCTTTGCTTTTTACTTTTATCTTCTGTCTTTCTTCTTTTTTCCCTATTTTTTTCTCTTTGGCTAATATTAAGTTGTAATATCTTTAGCTTCACTCCTGAGCAGTAATAGCAATCTAGTTTTGTTCTAAGAGGTCAACATATCTTCAGGTCTTTCGGATTGTTTTTCAGTCTCTTTATAAGACATCTGTAGACTCGATAGCTTTTCTGCCATGTTTTCAGTGTATGTTGCTTCATTCAAATCTATTTTAATACAAACCACTGTTGAACCAAGAGTATATTGTATCATATTTTGGAAGAAAATGAAATGAAACATTGAATTCATTGTAAAAATGTAAATTGTTGTGTTGTAAGCATGCAGAAATGAAAGGAACCAAGCCAGTCTTCAGGTTCAGTCCGCTCTTACTGTAGCCAGTCGTGCCATGATCTTTTAGCTCAGGAGGGTCAACCAAATGACACAGAGACTTTAAACGTGGTAAATGAGGAAGAGACACAACTGAAATGTGCTGTGAGAATTCAGCAAGACAAATTCCCCTCCTTTCTCTTATTCTGCTTTAAGATACTCCCTATTTCAGTTCCTGAGTAAGAGATATTTGGGGCACTTATATCAATATAAACTGCAATGACACCAGCTGAGATCAATGATCTTAAGTTTTGCTGTTCTATAGATAGATTAATTGTTAGCCTCATTAGAATCTTAACAAACAGTCTAAACAAAATGAAACAGTTATTACTAGTCCAATTACAAAAGTAATCCAAATTGCTACCAAAAAAAAAAAAAAAAGCCTCATTAATAACACCCTTCAAGTTGTTATGGAAGCAAATTTACTAGTACCTGTCCATCTTCTCTGATGTTGTGTTCACCTTTACAATGTGTTGGGTCCTGTCATGCTAGTCTTCTTCAAACAGAGATGTGAGAGGGCGTCGCAGAGAGCTGTCTGTATCGCAAAATTTTTTCTGGACAGACTTCAATGCTGGTGCAATAGATTCCTTACTCTTCAGTCATGGGTCTGCTTGGGCTTTTTTATCTGTTTCGTTTAAACAGTTTTCTTGCTTCTCACTGGTCCCTAAAGTCTGAGTGTGGCCCAGCAGCTGCCAGCTGTGGCCCCTGCAGCCCGGGCTGCTGGTGGTGCCGCAGCGAGGC